AGCAGCAGTCTCCCTCTAGAGCAGGTGAGCGGGAGTCTTCTCGGTGGCCTCCAGCAATGAATTTGAGCAGGTGTCACTTGTCGCCCCACACAGCGGGTGAGGGCCATCAGTGTTCACCCAAGCTCCAGCCTCTGTGGGTGAGGAGGGGAGAGGTTCAGCTGGGACTTTGGAACCTTTGTCCATGCTAACCCCTCAGGCAGAAATGCTCTTCCCTACAGGAGCTCCGTTGCCTTTCGCGGGCGTGCTCTCTCCTTTCTTCAGGGTCTCAGCCTCTGGGGTTCTTCCTTCACCGCTCTGTCTGAGAAGCTTGGCTGCCAACCCCTCACTTCTTTCCCCCGCTCACTGTTTTCTTCCGGATACATCATTCCCTGCCACTAAATCACTCACCGTCGGCGTCACCTTGTCCGTCCAGCACCACCGACACAGTGCCCAAGGGCTCGTGGTACCTCCCGGGGCCCCCGAAATGGCTTAACGTCTTTTAGAATCGGGGGGTAAGAAATAAACGTGACTCAGCCTGATTTATATTCATCTTTGTTCCAACGTAGTCGTAAAACATAATTTGCATGCTTTTGCATGAAGGGCGGCTCCAGGCAGCCATGCTCTGGTGCCAGGTACCGTCTGTTTCCCGTGCTCCCCGGATGCAAGCTTCGTGCTGCAAATACCTTGCCCTGTCCCCCATCTCCAGAGCGCTGGGATCCAGCGGGCACCAGGAATTAGCACAGGAGCAGGGGAGTGAAGGAATGCTTCCAGCCAAAGAGGCAGTTCAGGCTTCCTCCAGGTGATCGCCGCTCCTATGAAGGGCACCGTGGTTCGGCTGCCCTCGACAGCGGTCATCCCCATGTGTGGTCTGCTGGCTCCCCCAGGGTTGACCGGCCTGGATTCCTGTGCTGCACTGGCCCCACTGGAAAGCAGGGGTCCAACAGTTTGCTGGCAAAGGTGGGAATTGGGGGGAGCTGGGGTCGGGCCCCCAAGTCCCTTCTCCAGCCACTGGATAGCACAGAATGCTGGAGTTCTCACGCCACTGGCACGTATGGCCCGAGTCACATTGAGAAGACCAACTGAGGCTAGTTAGAAAGTTCTGTTGGGCCCCTAAACTTCGTGGCAGGAGAGGGGGACAAGGCCTTGTGAGGAGGACAGGAGCGTCACTGTAGTGGATGGAACGGTGGCCTCCAAAAAGACCTGCCCACGTCCTAATCCCTGGTACCTGTGACCTTAATTGGATATAAGGTCTTGGCAGGTGTTATTAAGGATGTGGAAATGACATCATCCTGGATTATCCAGGGACTCCCAAATCCAATGACCAGGGTCCTTCTCAGAGACAGGCCCAGGAAAGACGCAGGAAAAAGCAGAGGCCATGTGAAGACAGAGCAGAGACCGGAGTGAGAACAGCCACAAGCCGAGGAAGCCAGCAGCCCCAGAGGCCAGGAGAAACGTGGAAGGATTCTCCAGGGAGCCTCTGCATGGGGCACAGCTCTGCAGATACCCTGATGGGTGACTTCTGGCCTGACTTTTGGTGACAGTACATTTCTGCTGTTTTAGGCCCCCACGCTGGAGGAACAGCCACGGCCACTCCAGGAAACAAAGTCCCAGGAAACAGACACGCCCACCTTCTCCAAAAGATCCGAACAGAGAGAAGGACTCAAAATGCACGTGTGAGAATTCTCGGAGCAGATAGCCTCCATGACCACCACTAACCTCCCCCCGACCCCAGCGTCCCAGGACGGCCCACACAAGCTGTCACTGGCAGGCAAGGTGGGGACCCGCAGGGATGGCCTCCAGCCCCAGCCCGGGGAGGAAGCTCTGCCTTCAACAGTGCTGGCGAGGGAGAGCCTCGGGCAGCTAGGAATCAGGAGGGAGACCCAAGCCCTGCATTGGTGGTTCGGGAAGTCGACACTGGTTCAAGGACTGACACCTGGGATTGGGGGACATTTGGGGGGTTGGGGCTGGGGGGCCAGGGATCCCCACTTTCACGAGCAGCTCCAGCAGATTTCAGCTCCAGCGAGCTCAGGGGAGACCGGGCTCTGGGGCTCAGATCCCAGATCTAGTACTTAGTCGCTGGGGACTTTTGAATAAACACCTTCACCTCTCTGTGCCCACTCAGCATGGCCAGCGGGGACATCAGGCCAAGCAGTGGGAGCAGGGGGACCCCACACGGGAGCTCAGAGAGCAGGGTCGAGAGAGCAGGCGACAAGAAACGGCTCCAAGGTGAAAACGAGCAAGAGAGCTGGAAAGCAGGAAAGGAAATGTGACGGCAAAAGATGAGGCCACGTGTGGTGCCGCAGCCACAGACACACCTGCCTACAGGGGCCCAGGTAGGTGCCAGACCGGGGGGGGGGGGCGGTGAGCCAGGCATGAAGAATGTGTCCTTTCTGCTTCTTCCTGAAGGTGTGGCCCTCTCTGCCCAGCTTTTACCTTCCTCCTCCTAACAAACACATGGGAACAAATACACAGCTTTCTGTGAGTATTGAAACAGCAACTGACATTCACCCCTCCATGGGGGAGGCGCTTGGGAGTAGTGGCGACTGTGGCAACAACCACACTTTGGCTCCAGCCCAGAGTTTCCGTGCAGAAATGCGGCCCAGGTAGCCAGCTCTGCCATTTCTCCAGGGAAGCCAGAATTGGGGATTTTTTTTCACCCCCAACCTTCCGGTTCTCAAAAACAGTTGGCCACAGATTCACTTTTTGAAGATGTATAAACACCACGTGGGGTGGGGGGAGAAGACACGTCTGCAGGCCACATCTGGCCCTCCGGGTTGTGGCTCTGGTCCTTTGCCTGGAAACAGAACAAAAGCGAACTCGCGCATGGGGACAGTGACAGGAGGGTTTGGAGATCACAGGGGCTGGAACTTGTTAGGAGCGGCTGCTTCACTGGAGGCAACAGGAGAAGAGCGAAAAGTCTGGCCAAGTAACAGCTGGGGTTCTAACATCCATCAGGTGACCTCAGTGTGCACTTCAAAGGCAGAAGGAACCGGAGCTGTTGTTCCATGTGCATGGCTGAGTGAGCTCTGTGCATAGTGAGGCGGCAGGCCCGTCCCCCACCAGGCCCCCAGAGGTCCCTCCATAGCTTGAGCTAGGAGCCAACAGCAGCCCCCAAACCACTGAAATAATTTGCACTGGACAATGTTGGCTCTGGGGCCTGTGCTGCCTTAGTTTTGGGTGTACACATCCCCCACCCTGCCTTTCTTTTTTTTTCCTTTCTTTCTTGCGCCTCTATTTTATTGGGATGACTACATCTTTAAACTATGTTAGCAGTAAACACAGCTAATTTACCCCCTGCCTCTTTGAAACAGCTGTTGACAGCTGCACTGTAATTCAATCAAGGATCTTTGTAGTGGAGCCTACCAAATTCCCATTTATTGTTGGGTTCCATCTCTCCTGCCTAGAGCCCCACACAGCTGCAGCAAATGTTGACCAGCACCCCTTTCTCCCCAGGGCCTGGATGATGAACAGCGTGTTAATGGTGGGGCCAAGGCACAGAGTTCTTAGCAAACCAAGAGAACTCCAAAGTCCAGGAGTTGAGAGAAAAAACAACACACGGACATACATGGCCCCAAGAATCAGAACCAAATGTCTTCTTTTATTGAAAAGTCAAAACCCTTTTTATTTTGTCTATTTATACAGAAAATTCGCTGAAGGCTGCTCTATACAAAAGCTGAAGGTACATTGGTCTGATCGTTAATAAATAGTCTTAAATAAGAAAACAAACAGGCTGGGGAAGCGAGCTCATCATCCTGAACAAGGGACTGAAGGAGGGTGTAAAATGAGCTTCCAATGGACATAAATAATTTGTTTTGTAACAACTATTTACATGTTTCAATGTACAAGGATGCTAGCCAGAAACCAGGTGGGGCATGGATGGTGAGAAAACTTGCACCAAGAGCAAACCACACAGAAATCCCCAGATCTGCCAACAGATAAAACAAAGTACGGCAAAAACAGTGACTCTTCCCCCATTGACCAGGCAGATTAGAAGTTGCAGCCTAAGCTACTGAGGAAGAAAAAGAAAAGAAAAGAAAAACGGGACCCCAGTGTTTCTAGGAACCAACTTAATCAAGATGGAGAAATGATTCCCTGCTGGACCGGGTTCCAGGGGCACAGGCCTCACCTGGGTAACCCTGCTCTTTGTTTACAGACAGCCCAGAGCTCCACAAGGCCTACATTGCAGCTGGAGGCTGGGTGCACAGCATTTAGGGGACCCGCAGGCCAAGGCCAGTGAGGCTTATGCCAAGAGCCAAATCAGAGATGGTACCTTTGAATTGGAAGGCTCAATTAGGACGTCACTCTCAAGGCAGTGTCTAGATCCTTCCATTTGAGATTCACGTCCACCGTATCTTGCACCTAGCAGATCTCCACCATGCCATCTGCTCCTTACCTCAAGGAGCTGATAGTTTGCAGAGTGCTTGTAGGGGTCTGCAAATGAGAACAGTGGCTACAGCGGCCCTGGCTGGCACCTGGACTCCAGAATGCTGCTAATCATGACCAACAGGGGAACCCACCTGGGGGAGGGACAGCATGCCGGCCCACCCCACCCCCATCTAGAGTGAGGGTTCATTGACACTTCTTAAAATAGGTCATGTTAGCTAGAGTTCAGAGTCAAGGTGTGGGCTCTCCCGATTGCTGTCCCTTCCGCCCTGTCACTCCATGTTGATTTTCTACCACTAGGAGAGCTACAAAACCAATTCCAACCATCTGTCGGCGCTTCTCACGCCTATTTTAATTTCCGCCACCATGCACCCAACTGAAGGACGGGACATATTTTTCCTTCAAGGTTAACACACCCACTCCTCCAAGCAGAAATTTGCCGTCTCCCTTCCCAGTCAAATCTTGGATTTGGGCAAGTCTATGTAAACAGCAGGCCTCTGCAAGCCTCAGAATGAAACCAGAATGGAACGGAGAGGGGGCCTCCCCTGCCTCCGCCGGCCACGGCTTCTGTTTATGAAATCAGAGTAAACCAAGAAATGGGGATAAATTGTTTAGGAAAATATATCTGTAACATCCTAACCATTTTCATTCATTCGTTTTATTGTGACATTTATTACAGGAACTTCCGTGTCAATTTTCCTTGCGCACAGACACAAACGTGCCCACCCCTCGCCATGCCCCCTTCCTCCTGTTGCTGGGTGGCCTGGCTGCAGGGTGCTCCTAATTACCCCTGGTAACGAGTCAGTGCATGGCTGAGACTTCACAGCCAATGATCAGGGCCAGGCAATTTTTCTTTATATATTTTCTTTCCTTTAGGTTTTGCCTGTAGCAGCGTGTAGGATCTTGTCCATAGGAGGCTGATGAAAACCTGATCAAAAGGCATTTGCCTCTCCAATTCCTTAATCCTCCTACGCCCTTAAGGTTGGGGATGGGAGCGGGGCAGGTCTCGCGAAAGGCAATTGCGGTGCTGGGTGGTGGGAGGCACTGGGTGGTGGGAGACCAAGGACTCCAGAACAGTGTAGTGCCAGTGGGTCTGACCTCCGTGAGGTGCTAGTGGCAGCCACAGGCTCGGACGACCATGTTTCTGTATTTCTTCAGGATGACATTGGAGCTGTCGTCGAAGTAGAGGACTGAGATGGCGTTGAGCTGAGTGGGGGCACAGCACGGCTTGGGCACTGTTTCGGGGTTGATGAAATGGACCTGGAACACACAAAGAATGGCGGCATCGGTGAGCAGCGCTGGGTCCCTACTCCCGTTCTATAAGGAACGTCAGCTGCTTGGACAAAATGACGCACGTGATACTCCCCCTTGAGAGTGACCACAGGTCACACTTCCAGTTCTGGCCCGTGACGCATAACCTCTGGTGCACAGACCAGGGGACCAGGGCACAGAGGTGTCCACAGCTGGGGAGTTAGCGGCCAGGTGGCTCTCCACCACCCCGCGGTCCTATGCACCGCACAGTGTTCACCACGTCTCTCTGCTCCACAACCAGGAGCCAGAGACCCTCAGCCCCCAACCACGACCGCCCAAAACGTCTCCAGACATTGCCAAATGTCTCCTGGGAGGCAGATCTGTCCCTAGTGGAGAACACTCAGGTTAGACAGAGTGGGCCAGCAGGTCAAATCCCGTCCCGAGGCCTGGTTTTGTGAATAAAGTTTTATTAGCACCTGGCCAAGCCCATGGGTTCCAGAGTACCCAGGGCTGCCTCTGCCCTGCAAAGGCCTGAGCTTAGGAGAGGCAACAGAGGCCTTCTGACTCACAAGGCTAAAAATATTTACCATCTGGCCTTTTTCAGAGAAAGGCAGCTGACCTCTGGGCTAGACCTGTCCTGTCCAAGAAAAACACAATGAAAGTCACACGTGTAATTTAAAACATTCTAGTGGCCACGTTTGGAAAGATGAAAAAGAAATAGGTAAAATTAAATACAGTATTTCATTTAACCTGGTATCTCAAACATATTATCGTTTCAACACGCACTTATCACAAAGAATCTTTTTTTTTTTTTTTCTGCACTAAGTCTTTAAAACCTAGCGTGTATTTTACACTGACAAAGCACCTTGATTCAGATCGGCCATATTTCCAGTGCTCAAGAGCCACGTGTAAAAGTGGTCACCGGATCGGACGGTGCAGGTCTAAATTGTCCTAGACGCTTCTGCCTCTTGAGCAGTAAAACTTGGAGGACAAAACTGGGCAAACACTTGGTTGGACGTCCGCGAGGAAGAAGGGGGTCTAGAAGGGACGGATGAAGGGATGAAGCCAGATGCCGCTCGGGTTTACTGCTCCTTCCTGCTCTGGGATTCTATGCACCTCACAGCAGACAAAGGCGGGGGTGGGGGTGGCAAACAAACTCAAAGGCCCGAAGGGGACACGCAGGCACCACCCGACGAGTGAAGGAGGCGAGGAGTAAGACAAGAGGGGATAGTGAGGGTTGGGGCAAACCCAAGGCAGATGCTGCCCGCTGACCTCGGCCAATCAAGGCCAGTGCAGCTGGGTGTGCCCAGTGTCCAGGACACGCCAGGGATTTAGTTCTGCTTTGTTTGCATATGAAACCTCCAGGTTTCCAACACACTGCGCGTGCCAAGTGAAAGTATTCTGGAAGCCTCCAGCCTGTGACCTCTGACATAAGACAGCACACTTAGAAGCTTTTTATTATGGACGATTTCAAACCTTACAAATCTAAACCTTCCCCCCAGCTCCTCCATCTTTGAATAATTTGAAAGCAAATCCCAGACATCAGCTCATTTCCTGTGTTTTTCACCAGGACCCCCAAAGGCAAGGATCACCCCCCTTTTTTATTTGCTTCAGAGGTAGAATTTCATGACTCATCAGTTGCATACAACTTCCAGTGCTCATTCAGCCAAGTGCCCTCCTTCATGTCCATCCCCCAGTGACCCCGTTGTCCCACCCACCTCCCTTCCAGCAGCCCTCAGTTTCCTAGAGTTCAGAGTCTCTTATGGCTTGTCTCCCTCTCGATTTTCATCTTACTTTATTTTTCCCTCCCTTCCCCCTTTTTAAGCAGGACTACAGAACTTCTTTGCAGAATTATCAGCTTGTTCTGATCCCAGAGCTCCTTCATGACACGCAGACTGAGTGGGTGATCAGGGGACAGCCAGGCTCCCTCTGTATGGGCCATGAAGCAGGTCGGAGGGTAGAGGTGTGCCCTTGGCAGGTGGGAGATCCCCCAGCACCTCCCAGGGGCATCAGGGCCAGACCCTAGGGCGCACGTAGGCATGGGAGAACAGGCCCAGGCCAAGAAACAGGTTGGGAGCACTATTCGTTTCCAGCCCAAGGCCTTTCAATCCCAAGCAGGACTTCAGAGTTTACCTTTGGGGAAGGAAGGGCCTTGGAAAAGCATGGCCAAAAGAGAAGCCAGAGAAGACTTCCCTCAAAGGGCAGACAGATGTCCAAATGAAAGGAATAGGGGGGCTTTTTTCCCAAGACATAACATGTGGGGCAGGAACAAGTTTGCCACTAAATAAAAGAAGCCAAAAGCTTCAGAACAAACAGAACTGTAGGACAGAAGGGATGGCCCCGGGTCGTGAGCTCTCCATCACCAGGAGCATTCAAGCCAGGGAAAGGCCCCCATGATGTTCATGGCAAGGAGCTAGATAACCAAGACCCCTGAGCCTCAGATTCTAGGCCAAAGAACCAAGTTCCGAATTTTTTATCACTGTTGCTGTTTTCCATAGAGTCGTTAATCACTTCTTCCAAGAGTCAGCAGGGCTGGGTACCCTGTTAAGAGCTTATTTTCTTATCACAGTGAATCCTCCAAGGATCCCATGGAAGTTCAGCCTGAAACGGCCCCTGCCCCACCCCATCTCTCTGGCCCGTGGTCCTGTCTACCAGCTTCCTCCCGCTTCCTCCTTTGCTCACCTGACTACTTCTCTCCCTGGAAACTGAGCCCCAAGGGCAGGGAACAGGTCTGTGCTGCTCCCTGCGGTGTCCTCAGCTCCCAGTGCGGGGTCTACCTGCAGGAGATGCCCTTGGATGGCTGAACCCCAAAGATCAAGGCTAGGAGGCAAAGACCTGAGCTCGGGGGCGAGGGGGAAAGATGGGCTCTCGAGCCGGCCTGACCCCACGGAAGCCCGGACTTTGGGGGCCGGGGGTGGGGACACTCATGGATGACGAGCAGACATGTGGGCAACCGAGAACAGTCGCCCAGAGAGAGGCAGGGCCAGGGCTAACGTCACCATGACGCACAGGGACATTATCCAAGATACATTTAGGAGCTCCTGAAACTGCTCTTCTTTCTTTCCGAATTGGGAGAAATCTGTGAACTTGAGGGTCAGAGACTACACACATCTTTATGCCAATGCTGTTATAAAGTATGATTTTAAACTTTTCTTTCTTTTTTGTTTTTGTTTGTTTTTTTTTTTTTAATGGAGGAAGGGGCCTACTCCAGGAGGAGAGCCCAAGGCCCACGAAAAGTCAGAGTCCCAGTCCAGAGGAGTGCTAGACAGAGTCCCGCGCGCCCCTGCCCCGGCTGAGCCCGCCCAGAGGGCGTGCAGGCCACACTCACCAGCGTCTGCACGATGGCGTGGTTGGTGGCGTTCATGTAGGAGTTCAGAGGAAAGGCACACTCGCCCTCACAGTAGTAAGCAGCATAGCCTTCAGGAGCGATGATCCAGTCCTGCAGGAGGGACAGCATGAGCCCCACATGACCTCTCACGCCCCAACCCCCTCCTGCAGGCCAGGCTCCGTGCTTGCAGGGGACAAAGACACAGCCCACACCGTCCTGAGCAGCTGGGGGTCCCACAGAAGCAGGAGAAGCGGAGGCTGGACGATCACAGTCCCCGCAGAAGGCAAAATGAGGCGAAGACCACCCAGGGGCTGGGCTGAGCCCAGAAAGGACGCCCGCATGGCCTTGCTGGAAGGTGGCCCAGAGATGTGTGACCGGGGCGGGGAGGGGGGTAAGGGGGGGCGTCAACTCTAGCTCTGTGAGAGGTGGTTACAAGTTGGCAGTTTGCTTTGAGCAACGTGGGAGAGCGACGACTCACCCTCAACACTGAGAATGAAATGACTGTGTAGACGAGCCCGCCCGCGCCTGGTGCACATGCGTGGCTTGGTCAAGGACGCTCACAGCCAGACCTGCCTTTAGGGCTGGGTCCGCCAGGAGATGCCGTTCAGATAGCACGCACACCCCTACGGACTCAAGTCCATGGACTCTGTCTGCAGAGGAGCTGGCATCTGGGTCGGGCTCCAGCACCAGGACGCAGGCACGGCCAGGCGCCCCGCGGGGCACAGACCCACGGGAGGGCTCCACACCGGCTGTGGGCTACTGTCCCTCTAGTTGCACGGTCCCCAGGGAGGGATCTGGACTCCCCCACCGAACCACAAGCCCGCTGAGGAGTGGACAACAAAACCACTGGTCTCGGGGATCTCAAAGCCCCATTCCGGATATTTGAGCTCCATGAGGGCAGGCAGAGGGTCACGCTCCCTGCTGCGTCTCCTGGGCCTGGAAGAGCGCCCAGAATGTCAGAGACGCTCATAAACAGTCATTAGAGTGTGTGACCCTCATGCCTGTCCTAGGATTCATCCCCTGCCCTTCGTCCCATTCCATCCGAATCATTCCGGAAGGAGCTGTCACGGTCCTATGACACAAGCTCATCCCCAAACAGGTGACAGGTGCAGGACCAAGCACCCAACCCGAGATGGGCCAATCCACCCCTGCCCCGGGGAATCTGAATCACGGAAGGGGAGGGATGGACAGAGCCGGGGGCGGGGGGTGGACCCTGCAGGCGACGGGCTCTGCCCCATCAGAGAGGAGCAGCCAGCCGCAGGATGGAGTTCAAGTTCCCACAGCGAATGAGGCTCGGAGTCCAGAGTATGGGGGCTCCTGGTTCTCTCCTGAATCCCCCCCAAGTTTCTGCTCTTGCGTGCCACGAGGCGTCCCTGTACCCTCAACCTGACGTCTCCACCCTGCTTAGGACTCTTGATTCTGGTGAGAAACGTGACTCACTGCACACACGGGACGCAGGCCCGCTGCTGTGGGGGGAGCGCAGGGACGCCCACGCCGGAGCCCCCACCACCGGGGCCCTCGTTCTTACCTGCCAGCCCAGGTCGCGGAAGCTGACGTACAGCTCGTGCTTCTTGCATGCCTGCCTCTGGTCACTGCTGCTGTTTTCTGCATTGGCAGGAGACAGGGGTGCGGGTGGGGGAGAGGAAACACACACACGTGGTAAGGCTCCCTCAGTCTAAGGCAGTGGTGTGAACACAGACAGACTCAGCTAGAAGGAGACGTTTCCAACACAACAGCCGTTTGAGGACCCGTAGCCTTAGAACTCATTTTCATCCCTAGCAAACGGCCTGGGTAGGCAGTGCCGTCACCCCCATCCCTCTTGTGCCATCTTAGCCCCTAGCACTCTCCGGATCCGTCCGTGGACCTTGGCCTTTCGGTGCACAGGTGTTGTCTGGATGCTGACCGCTGCCAGGACTCCATATAGGAGCCCATGGGCCACCATGCTGGCTGCGGGGGCCTGCTCAGAGGGGTCTTCCTCTGGCCAAGCTCACCTGCCTTGCGAGGCTCCCCCCTCTTCAAGGGCAGCAGGGAGGGGCACAGACCGGGCCTGGTACAAAGTCCCCACCACCAGGAAGGAATGAGAGGGTGGAAATGCCAATCCCACTGACCTCCCAGAGAGACATACCAGTACTGAGGTTTCTTTGAGGAGCAAAAACTATGCACTGGGGTTTTCCAGAAGTATGTAATGTTTGCAGGCAACTGGGCTAGGGTTTGAGCACCTGGAAAGATGGAGGAAGCTCTGCCCCCACCCTCCCCCTCACACACACACACAAACACACACACACACACACACACTGACACACACACACACACTGGTGTTCCTGCACAATTTTTCATCTTGCAGGTATGGATATTTTTTTCCCTTATCTATGACTTGTCTATCCTCCAGCTAGAACTTTCTAGGGTTTTCTTTCATGCTCAGAGCAATGTCTCAACACCTGCCCTTGGCCTGTATGGCCCAATATGGCCCTGATTCCTAAGCCAAAGTCTTCTTTCTGTGCTGTGGATGTACTGCCAAGACTGTTCCTACCTCAGGACCTTTGCACTTGCTCCTTCTTGTAATCTTTGTATGTCTGGCTCCACTTGATATTCATGTCTCCCCTCAAATGTTGCCTCTTTGACACTGTGAGGTCACCATTAGGTCCCCAGAGCCCAGTGTCTACCAATATTTGTGTCATTAACACACAAATAAAGAAGTCAATGCCTCTGTCTATGGCTGTGATACTTCTAGGCCTCAGTGTCCCAGAAGGTAATGCACACCAGTGGGTGAAGGACATAAGAACGGCTCACAGGGTGGAGAGGGAAGTCCAGGAGACGATCCAGGGTTGTCTGCTCGCTTGACCTGCACTTAGGAGCCATCCAAACACACCTATTTCTCCCTGCCCGGTCAGTTCTCTCAGATGGCTAGGAGAGTGGCCCTCCTGGTGGCCTCAGGGGCTTGTGGTAACCCCAGCTTGTCACTGACTGGCTCAGAAGCCAGGACTGAGTTCACCAGCTCTTATCTCATCCTTGGAGTGAGGATTGGTTCAGATAAGAGCAAATGATCCCATTCAAGCCAAAAGGACATGGTGGCAGCATGCTGGGGGCTTCTGGGAAAAGTTTCCTAATTCGTAAGGAAGACCATGAGAAAACATGCTCATCTCTGGCCCCTGCTGCCTGGGAACAGCAAAGGAGGAGCGTGGATGGTTACATACAGCCACAGCCTTGAGGAAAAGCCAACACTGAACATGGGGGACAAGGACAGAAAGCCAGGGCTTTCATTCTTGTTGACTTTCTGGATCAACCAACCCTCATGCCCACCCAACCTTGGCACTGGGAGTCAGTGGCTTTCCTAGTGGTTGAAGCCACCTGATCTGTGTTTCTGAGACTTGCAGCCAAACTACTCAAGGGCTCCTGCCTGGAAAGGTGCATCTGGTGTGGGGGTGGTTGTCAGCTAGAGCCCAGGTAAGACCCTGGTGGTGTAGACGCCAGAGCACACCAGCTCCCGAGTGGAGTCTGACCAGTGGGTCAGAACCAGGCAAAGGGGTGTGGCTCCAGCTCCGGAGTCAGACCCTGGTTCCCCTAGACCTTGGGGTCTGCAGAGCGAGGAGGAAGTGCCTACTGGGGCAGCCATGTGTGTTCAAATCTGTTTAGCTCAACGCTCAGCTCATAGCCATCAGATGCTGATTATTATCTTTCCAGCCCACCTGCGAGGAAAGGTTAAAACTATATACACACTTCATACCCCACCCACACTCTTTAACCATTTGGAGTTAATGACTGCTTCCTCCAAACCCAACAACAAGCCACGTTTGGAAGAAGTGAAATACCCATTGGTTTCCTGCTGTCCCCAGGAATTCTAACTGTATGGCTTCTAGGTTAATGAGAAACAATAAGATAAAAAGGATATCACTGAATTCTCTTCCCTGGACCTCAACTTCCCCCTCTGTGTTGAAATGGGTATGAGCCACATGTGGCGATCATACACTGTAAGTCAGGAAGATCTCCTTGGACACCTGCTGGGCGTTATGTTGTCCTAGAAGTAATGAATGTACAGGCACCCAGGCTACTCTGAGGCTAGGAACAAATCTGAAATGAAGTGGTGAGGGAGGGGAGTGAGGGTGGGAAGGAGAAAGAGAAGGAAGAACAAGGTCAAGGAGAAGAAGATAGGGAGGGAGGGCAGCAGAGGGCATAGCAATCAGAAAATGGTCTCCAACAGACTTTCCGGAAATGCGTAGGTCTGAGATGAGCGCATATGCATGGCTGGGTGGGTTCAATCCCGTGCAACTTCCACTGCCACCAGCCTCTGTGTATACTCCTGATTTTGTACGTATCTTTATATCTACGGTTCAGCAAAGCAATTTTTAAAGATTTGCAAACCAGTGAGAAAAATCACACTGAATTCATTATGACAGAATTGCATGTGTCTTTACAGGAGGGATCCTTGCCCTCAGGGACATTCAGAGCTCCTGAGATGACCTCAGTGAGGGTGGGGTGGGCACAGTCTCACCACCTCAGTACCTAGTGCTCCATCCATGCTTCCATGCACCCATCCATCCATCCATCTATCCGTCCATCTTTCCATGCATCCATCCATCTTTTCATTCATCCATCCATCCATCCATCCAACAATCCATCCATGCATCCATCCATCCATCTATCCATCCATCCAACAATCCATCCATGCATCCATCCATCCATCCATCCATCCATCCATTCATACAAACCATTACGGAGTGTCTACTGGTTTATAGATGCTGTTTTAGACATCAGAGCTACAGGTATGAACAAAACAAAGCCCTGCCCTGGGGGCACTTGTCTTCCAGTGACAGAGGCAGACAGTAAGCCAGTGAGTAAACAGAAACTGCATCCTGTTGAGGTGGAGAACAAGACAGAAGAGGAGGGTGGGCTGCCAGGGAGGCTGTGGGTTGGAGGGTGCTCACAGGAGGGTCTTCTGAAGAAGTGATGTTTTTGTAAGAATCAGAAGGAAACGAGCCAGCCAGAGAAGCATCCAAAGGAGGAAAATTCCATGAAGAGGATGTAGGGGAATGGAGAGGAGGGTGCCCTCCATGACCGAGAAGGTCAGCAAGAACCCTAACCGCAGTAGCTGCTGACCAAGGACAGAGAGGCAGGCACTAGAGCCTTCTAAGGATGAGGAGGCATGAGCGGGGCTCAGCAGCAGGCAGTGCGGGAGGGGCGGAAGGTCTACTTTGCTGGACTGACTTCTGAGGCTGGGCGCCAGGGGAGGACAAAGAAGGAATGGGGGCCTGGGGTTCTAGCTGCAGGGGTAGAAGGGCCTCTGGAGGGCTGGGTGGTAATTAATATATGAAGGTAAAGGTCAAGGGAGCCATCAGAGAAGAGCCTCAAGAGATCTATTGGACCATCTGGAATACTGTCTAGAATGCACTGAATGGAAGTCCAAAGACGGCCTCCATCACTGTGGCCATGCCCGCAGCCACAGGTAGCACCATCAGTGTGCAGCCTCCTTCTCCCTCTTCATTGGAGGGAGGTGGAAGGTAGAGGGAAAGGAGGGAGAGCATCCCTCAGGCAGTGATGTGGAAGGACCAAACATGTTAGCTTGGGACAAGGACGTGGCAAAGAAGTTTCACATCAAGTGCCAACACTGCTGGCTGCTTGATGTCATGAGTAAACAAGGATTGGAAGCTTTGGGAGGCTCAGTGAAAAGAAGGTGCTACCGTTGATTAGTAATGTCTGCCATGAGCAGAGGCAGGGCAGGTGTAGGCCTGAGAGTCACTTTTCCCAACCCTATCTTCAAGCAAAGCAATGATATTTGGCTTAATGTTGAAACCCAAGATGTTGAAATCCAACAAGATTTGGATTTTGTGAGCAGCCTGTAAGCCCAGCCGTGGGTGTCAGTGGGGGATGGGTGCTGGCCCTGCCACCAAAGACCCAGCCACCTGCACTACCTCTCTAGGCCTCCTCGGATTGTGGGGCTGCTCTGGGAGAAAGCGGTCAAAGTCCTGTTTCCTGACGACCTCATATTAGCAGAAAGACTAGGACAGGGAAGAAGAGATGCCCTCAAAGGAGACTCCCAGCTCCCCCATCCCTCTGGTCTGGCCCCCCGAACCCACGCAGATTCCTCATCTGCCTCGACCAGCCCCTGCCCGAGCAGCTCACAAGTTACAACCCCCAGATCATTTGGGGAAGATGCTTAATTCCTAGGAGGTTGGGTGCAAACATGGGAGGGGAGAAAAAAGTGGGACACAGTCTTTCAACCCCAAACTACACCCCCTAAGAGCAGGGGAAGGCTCTGGGGCAGGGTGGGGGGTGATCAGCCTACAGGGACCTCGCAGCGGACCACAGGCAGGGGTGTGTGTCCCTCCCACACATGAAGGGCCAGCACGTGAGAGGGTTCAGCAGGATACCAGCCATCACGTGAGGTAAAGCCCTTCAAAAGGACGTGTATGTATGCGTACACACACATTCAGACATTCTGGTTTACCAAGCCTTGGGGTGGGAGGGGAGGGGCAGGCCTTGGTATTTTTGTAAAAATTAAATTTCCGGGAAGGATTGAGATGAACTGCCAAAAGGACTAGGAAGTAGAAAGTCCCAGGATGGAGGCAGATTCCAGGCAAGCTAGAACAGCTGCCATGTGAGGGAGTGAGAGCCCCGTCCTGGGAATTATGTAAATGGAGTGTTTGGTGTGGATGCAGGAGGAAATCGGGTGTCGAATTCTGTGTGAGGCCTGGTCCCTCTGCCTTCATTATATCCGGCAGGCCTGCAAGATGCTGGAGTCTGCAGGATGGATTGTGCCGTCACATGCTGCCTGGCTGATATGTAAAGAAACCTGGCATCTGACCCTTCCTGAGCACCCCACCCTGCTCCCCGCCATTCTCAGCACAGCCAGGAGGATCATCTGATCATCCCTGCCCCCACACCACAGCTTAAAGCTCTGCAAAGGCTTCCAAATTTGTTTTGGATGAAATTCAAACTCAAGATGTGACTCTTAAGGGAACTCCTGATCTCGCTCACCTTGCCAGCCCCACCCTCCTCCTGTTCCACGGCCTCCCTCTTCCCTCAAAGGAGCCCCACTGCTTCTCACCCTAGGCCCCTCTGCCCGTGGGTCCCACTGCCTGGATCACTCTGGTCCAGCAGACCCAGCCAGGCCTCGGGGTACCTGCTGGTCCCCGAGCTCTTGGTGGGGTATCCTTCTCCGCAGCTCCCTCCTCCAGGATGTGTCCATCCCCTAGTCACCATCCCTTGCCTCTCAGGCCTGTTAATAAGGGACAACCACCTCCAGCCTGGCCCAGACCCCGAGGGTGGTCCATAGCTGGGCTTTCCCCAGGGGACCCCAACAGCTAGAGCCAACACAGAAGAGGTTTCCACTGCAAATTAAGGGATTCCGCAGGATTTTCGACAGGAGGCCTTACAGAGCCTTCCGAGAAGCCTAAAAGCAGAGTGGATGCACTGGCCCGTGAAGAAGCCTTGCAGAGTCCCTGCACACCAGCTTCAGAGACACTGAAGCCATCTGGGGCCCGTGGGGCCAGGAAACCCTGTTCTAAAAACTCCACCAAGCATAAGTGACCAGTCCTTTCTTTGCCTTCAAAAAGGAAAATAAAGAGAAATGTAAAAACTGGCTCCGTGAACCCAAATTAGCTGATGCTAATATAAGGTTAGTCTGGGAGTGGGGGCTTCTTGGCCACTGTGCGCCCCTGAACATGCCCTTCTGGGCCAGCCTCGGGGCCCAGGAGCGGGCAGAGCTGCAGCTCCGAGTTCCCCACGTGGCCGGCAGCCTGGTTCCCGCTGTGGACCCTGCCTGGCTTTGGAGCCCACCCTGAGCCCTGAGATGGCACAGGGTCGCGCGGCGTAAACCACCCTGTAAAATATGGTGGCTCCGATTCCTACGGCTGCGTTAATGAACGATCCCAGACGCGGCGGCTGAAAACAATGCCCGTTCATCACCTTCCAGCTCAAATGTCTCCGGCCCCGAAGTCACGCACTAGCCAGTACTTCCTCCTAATCTTTGAATTGCTAGCTATGAAAATGCTACCTTTATTTTTAATTTGTTTTTACTTACAATAATGCATCATGGCAATGAACCGAAAAGTACCCCCTAAGATACACTGAAAGATCTAGTGCTCATTTTTTTTTTACTTATAAAAACAAAACATTTCAAACAAACTTAAAAGTATCCCAAATAATACACAAAAAACTCACTACCACCCATTAGTCAAAGGAGCCATAAGTTTCAAGTATCTTTCGCTTTAAGAACTAAAATTGAAAACAGAGCAAACTCCCCCATTTTTCTTCCTTTTCACTCGCAAGCAGCGCCTCCCTGGGAAGGTGGTGTGGTGTCTTCCCACTTCATGTTTCTAGAGCTTTCTTTCATTTATTTGTACCCGTCATTTTGACTACTTGGAAATTTACATGACTGGCATCGTTCTACTAATGCTTGTCTACGTGCCTTTCAAAATGAACTTACTACTTACACAGAGTTAAGGCGGTGAGCTCCGCGCAGGATGGGATTTTGAATCACAAGCCTACCGGGGTCCTACTGTGGGTTCCCGGGGTCCGTGCATTAACCCTCTTGCCTCCCAGGCATACCTGCCACGTTGGCCACCCGCAGGGCTTCCTGGTTCTTGGGTGTCTTGGAGCGGTTCTGGCTGCGCTGCTTGCCCCCCGTGGAGCGGGTACTGCGAAGGTGGACCTCCGTGGCCTTGAAGAAGGCCACCATGAAGGGCTGCTTGTTCTGCGGCCCGTGGCGCCCGATCAGGCCCGCCAGCTTGGGGTTGATGCTCTGCCCTAGACAGGAAGCAGGCAAATGCACAGAAGATCGATTTCAGAGGAGAAGCAGTTCGCGGGGAGGGCTGCGTGGGCGTGATGTCGCCCACGCCTCACGGTCCACTCATGCACCTGCTATCCGTCCATCTAGCAAGTGCTTATTCAGCATTTACTCTATGCCAGGTTGCTCAGGGGCTTGGAACACAGCAGGGAAGCACACAGAGGGGTTCTCTGGGTGTGCATGCAGTGGGGCAGGGGGGCAGGCGGGCAGCACAGACCATGATAGCCCCTGCTGATACGTGTGCACGCAGTGTAGGAACCTGGCTGAGGTTTGCGGGCTCTGGCTAATGAAAGTGCCCCTTACATTTCATTGGCCAAAGCAGGTCATGTGATCCACCCAATTTCAAGAGGTGGGAGAACCCTGTTTGCCCAAGGAGGGTGGGAGCAGTTGCAAACAGGCCCAGTGACGACCACCTTAGGCATGGAGAGGCTGTTTGAGCAGAGGACTGGGTAACAGCGAGGGAGGGAGCCATGTGGGTCCTGGGGACAGGCATTCTGGGCAGAGTGTACTGCAAAGGTAAATGCTTGGACGTGGGAGTGAGGTGGGGTGTTCAAGCAACAGGGAAGAGACTGCTGCTGGGTTAGAACACAGACTGGGGGTGAGGAGGGACAAAGGAGGGATCAGTGGAATAAATAAGGGGACCATCTGGAGCACAGATCATGTGGGGTCCTGCAGACAACAGCAAGCACTCTGCTTTTATTCCGTTTCCTGAGATGAACAGTGCCCCCCGCCATTCATGTCTACCTGGAAGCTCAGGGTATGACCGTATTTGTGAAAATAGCATCTCCGCAGACATAGATAAGGTCACACTGGACTCGAGGGTGGTGATGGCAGCTAACCCAATGACTGGTGTCCTTAGAGGAAGACCACGTGAAGACACAGAGACACCGACATACACATGCGTGTACACACACACACACACACACACACACTGAGGGAAAGCAGCCAACAAACACCAACACCAAAGAAGCCAGGAGAGGCAAGTAAGGACTCATTCCTCAAGCCTTTGGAAGGGGAACAGCCCTGGGATTTCCGGCCTCCAGACTGGGGGCCAAAACCCTAGTGCTTTAAGCCCCCCAGTTTGTGGACCGGGGGGCTGAGTGGCACGAAGTGGCAGCCACGGGGTGTTCAAGCTGAGCAGGGGGCACCCCGAGTTGTCTCTAACAGAACACCTTGGGTGCCCCCGGGGGGCCAGTGGGAGGCTACCGGGCAGTCCAGGCAGAGGGACGGGGCTGGCCCCAGGCGGCAGGGAGCAGAGCTGGCCAGAGACAGTCAGATCCTTGGTGATTCATTTTTCAAATCGGTCTTTGGAATTTATGTTGAAGGTTTTGTTTTGAAATGATTATAGATTCACAGGAAGTTGCAGAAGAAAATGTACAGGGACGTGCCCTGCACCGTTCCCAGTTCCAGCCCACAGTCCCATAACTAGAGCATATCCAAAGCCGAGAACCACAGAGCCCGGGTCTACTTGGAGAGAAACAACCGACAGCATTTGCCGAGGGACTGGACAGAGAGTGTGAGAAGGTGCAGAGTCATCCCTGACTTCCACGCTCTGGGCCCGAGCACCTGGAAGAAGGGAGGGGCCTTTTACAGAGGTGGGGAAACCGAGGCAGGGCTGGGGTGAGGTGGAGAGAATTGGGGGAGGGGAGGATGGAAGACAGAACGCAGTGTGGTTCGGTGGCTGCTGTTTGCAATGTCCGCCTGTCACCGGAGGGAAACTGGCGGGTGGGCAGGACCATCCCAGCATGAGTGTGGCCCCTGATCCAGAGGGGAGAGATGGACCCGGAACCAAACATGCTCTGGCCTGGTGCCAGACTTCCCGGATTCACGTGCTGCCTCTGCCATTCAACACACAGATGCTTCTCAGAACAGAGCTCTGCACGTCGGACACGCTCGAGAAACGCTGGCCCGGGGCGTGGGTCGGGGTGACACGGAGGAGCTCCTCTGGGGACAGGGTGTAGCTAGGCAGCGGAGTGACAGCTGAGCCCAGGCATCCAGTCTCCACCACCGAGAGGGCAGGGTTCACACCGGGTGCCCAGTTAGGGAGGATCTGGAACGAACTTGGGGAGGAAGAAGGAGGACACCCAGAGGATACAGGACCTGAGAGACAGAGAGGAGAAAGCAGATGGAACAAGGACCATGTCCTGTGTTCTGCTGCTGGGCAGGGTGGGGCTGGGAGAGGAGAACAGGCCAGCAGCGCAGGCCACCGCCCGATACATACCGGATGTCATGCTGCAGGGTGATAAATATTCCAAAGGAAAATAAAGCAAGAGACAGGGCAAGGAAAGCTGATGTCACTCATGAGAGAACAGCCTAGAGGCGGAACAGCCTGCCCAAGGACACCCAGCTTGGAAGGGACCGAGCAGAGTCTGGACCCAGGCTGTGTACGAGGGACAGAAATACATAACCTCCAGCTAGGTTGGAGGGGTCAGAGGCCAATGAACGCAGTGATTCTGGGGGGAGCTGGGCCCATCCACATCTGGAATTAACTTCACCTGGAGCCCCCCAGACAGGCCCGAGTCAGGAAACCCAGCCTCCCGGGGCCCAGATCGGCACCAGAGGTTCGCTTTGGTGTTCTCACGGCTCGTGTTTAAAAGAGCAAGCGTCCCCCATCCCCCACTGTTGTACCTTCACCCCCTGGAACGTTCGGCTCTCCTGCATTCTTTAGCAAGGGTTTCCTCGAGTTCATGCATTTATAATATGAATGATTCTATAAAAGAAACCATTAAAGTGGAGCCCCTAGGAATTGTATCTTGCCCTAGCCCCACCTGGAAGGCTTTTAGGGCAAAATAAAAATGCCTCGCCTGAAAACCTGATGCTGTTCCAGGCACAGGAAATCCGAGGGCTGCAAGCAGGCTGCGCAGCTTGGAGGGAGGGTGTCCGGCCGGCTCTCACCGCGGTCAAACACAGCCAGGCCCGGGGACCTGCAGCCTTGGGGAAGCAATCGGTAGACACGGGGGAAAGAAGGGACACTTCTGGAGGGTCTGAACTCACATCTGCCACTGACTGCCCTGTGTGGGCCAAGAGAGGTAAAGTTGGATGCTGGGGCCTCAGTGGCCTCATCTGTAAAGTGGGGACGAGGCCATTTGTCTCACCCATGCCCCCTCTCCATGGTACCCAACCCAATTTTCATTTCAGCCTTTGTATCTTAGCGGCCCCGCCCTGGCCAAAGGGGTGGGCCTGTTGTCTAACGGACAACTAATCTTCCAGCCACGGTGATTGGCTCAAGGATGGGCCTAGGACCCAACGCAGCCAATGAATGGAAGAGAGGTACCCTGGAAGTTTCTGGACAAGAAACTTCCCACTTAGCATCCAAAAGCAACCTTCTCTCTCCCCAGAAAAAACAGGGAGGAGGAATGGACGGAGCCCCAGAAATGGCCACCAACTGGAGACCACGAGAGGATCACATTTTCAAATGGGGCTGATCTGGTGGAAGGAAGAGCAGAGAGACAGACACAGACTCTCCGGTGATGTTGCTGAACCACTGGATCAAACCAGTCCTGAAGTTCGCTTCTTGCCCCAACCACCAAGATGACTAAAACCCTGTGATTGTTTAGTCTAAGCCGCATACACGTGTGTCTACAAAAACAGGTGTGTGCAGTTCCTCATAACTGGGATGGTACGATTACCGCTGTTTCATATAAACCTGGGTTTTATGCAATACACCGTGGACATCTTTCTCCATCAGCGAAACACCCCGACCTCGTCCCCTGTGGCCACAGAGGAGCCTCGCATCTGAAAATGCCTTTACCTCATCCTCTCCTACTGACAGACAATGAGGTTAATGTTCCAGGCTTAAAACAACCACCCCATTGTTGGCCCATTGTTCATTCAGCAACTACTAGTGAACACCTACTGTGTGCCCGGCTCTGTGCGAGGTGCAGGCACAACAGTGAGCCAGAGGAACCCCCAAAGGCCCCCGCCCCCCAGGGAGGAAGAGAAGCCCAGGGATGTGGAGTATGGTGGCCACAAAGAAACTAGGACTGGGTCGGGGGCAGGGACAAGGAGGGACTGGTCAGGGAGAGAAGGCCTCTTAGCCACGGGGATTCTGGGGGAGAAATGTTCCCCATGGAAAGAACGGCCAATGCCAAGTCCAGGAGGCAGGAACACACGATGTGTGTTTGAAGAACACGCAGTAGGGTCAGAAGGGGGGGGGCGGTGATAAGGCTGGGTCCCTGGGGGCCTTTGTGGGGGCTCTGGATCACAGTCTAGGTATTATGGCAGTCACAGAGGGTCTGGAGAGGGGATGTGGCCAGACTTCGGTGATGAGAGGCTCAATGAGGCTGGTGTGGGGGGGAAGAGGATGGCCCAGAAATGAGCCCCCTCCCTCCAGGCTCTCCTCTAGACTCCCTGCTTTGGCAGCCTCTCTGGGTCCTGCCCACGTGCCCTGCAAGTCAGGGCAGGGTGGTCCCCTCCACCCACTGCCCCAGCACAGGTCAGGGCTCTAAGACGGGCCACAGCATGTTCACCAAACAGACAGCGGCAACACAGTGGCTGGTCCTGGGCCCCCAGCACTCAGGCCATTGGGGGGCACTGGAGGAGGTGCACAGGTGTCCTAGGAGCATCCCTATCCCAGAGTCCTGACAAGCAAAATTGTCTGCACACATTCACAAGTGTCCCCTGGGAGGCCACAGGTCCCAGGTGGCGAGCCACAGCTTGGCACACATCCTCCCTATGACAAGCTCCACTCCTGGACAGACACACAAAGGTACGTCCTCGCCGTCAAGTTTTTAACTCAGAACTCCAGAGACAATGTGGTGTTTTACCCAGACAGTTAATGGACCAGGCACCTAAATAATTCATTCATCTTTTTTACACATATTCATGGTGCACAGGCAGGGGCCAGGCACTGCCCTGTACCTTGGAGGTTACACCCACAGCCTGGGGAAGGACGCGTGGAATCAGATAAGCTGTGACCACATCTGGGAGAGAAGAAATTTAAAGCATATACCAACATATG